GAAAACTAGATATTAGTCCAGCATTGTGGTACAATGTGTTAAGCTGCTGCTTACTTATGCTGGCATCCAGTATCTGAAACCAGCCAGTGTCCCAGTAGCTGTGCTTCTGATCCAGTTCCCAGCAAATGTGCCTGGAAATGCAGCAGCAGATGGCCTGAGTGCCTTGGTCCCTGCCATCCAGCTGCCGGCTGCAGTCCCGAGTGTTATGGTATTCAGAGGATGCAGCAGTGGATAGACCTTTCTCAGTCTCTCTCTCTTCTGTCATTCTGCCTTTCAAATAAAGAAATCTTTAAAAATAAAAACTGAAAACTACTGTGCTTTATATATAAGCAAGGAAAGAGAAAGAAAACTAGATGTGGTTCCCTTTTTCTTTGTTTGCAGATCTGATTTTTGTTAGTAAATTTGAGTACAAGTGGGGCTTTAGGACTTGTAGCAGTCCCTGGGCAGAAACTGGGCTGACACTCCTCCCTGCCAGCACCCCAGTATTGCCTACACCAGCAGGAAGGTGGCCTGAACTAAAGACAATTTAAGAGACAGATATTGAAAAGGGTCTGGCATTCAAGTATCTGTGGGAACCTGAGCTGGCATAGTCCTGCTAATTCCCATGGTTAAGACTGTAAGCAGCAACCATGTGGAAGCATCGACAAGCCCCTTGGAAGTGTAGTAGCCTGTTTTGCTTCCTCTTCCTTGTGAGTTGCCCTTACTTAGTGTACTCCAGTAGCCACACTTGAATCCCAACAAGCAGAAAAGGAGAGAAAAAAAATGTCTGTTGGAGTGAAGGCAGTAATGCACTGGGGAGAGCTGAGCAAAATATCTGCCCAGCAAAATAGAGTGCAGAGCTAGCTGGCAAGGTTAATTTGAAAAAAGAAGGAGGCAGGGGTAACGTGGATGGAGGTAGAAAGAGAATGGTTAGTGAGATTTAAATACAACACAAGAGATTTTCTAAAGATAACACATAGCTTTCCAGTAAAGTAACTTAACACAGTATTTTTTTTCCTTTTAAATTATTCTTCAAGCAAAATTGGGTCGTGGAAGATAAAAGATAGAAGTTATTTCAAAGCACATAGGAAAATACGACAAAGATATAAAAAATTGTGAAAGAAAAGGTTTAAAGATGTAGAGGATGAATCCAGGGATACTAATATGCATATGATAGGCACTTAAGAGAATAAAAAAGAAGAGTTGGAGGTGAAATAATAAGAGTTGTTAAATAATAAATGGGGGTAAGTATGCTTAACTAAGAAAATCTTAGGTTGCAATTTAAAAGTTCATTGAGTTCTAGTCTCTGCTGTTTACTGAAGATATCCATCTGGAGCCAGGATTGTGGTGCAACAGGTTAAGCCGCAACTGTATGCTAGTAACTTGAATCAGGATGCCGGTTTCAGTCCCCTGATCAGGCTCCCTGCCAATAAAACTGCAAGGCAGCAGAAGATGGCCCAAGTGTTTATGTCCTTGCCACCCATGTGGGAAACCAGGATGAAGTTCATGCCTTCTGATTTTAGCTTGGTGGAGCCCCCACATGCTGTGGCCATATGGGCAACGAAACAACAATGGAATAGCTCCCTCTCTCTCTCTCTCTTTCGTGCTTTGTCCTTCAAATAAATAAATAAATCTTTTTAATAAAAAATACACATCTGGAATGTCTTAGTAAAATTCTTGATTTCTAGACATAATGAAAAAAAAAATTTTTATAAGTGTTTAGGTGCCTAAACTCCCTGAAAAAGGAAGACTGAATCAATGAGATTGTCATTGGACTTCTCATTTGTAAACTTGGAACTGAAAGACACTAGATACCCAAGGACTTTACAACTAGCAAAAAAAGAACATATCATTTAGAGCTTTAAAAAATCTGAAAATATGCCAAAAATGCATAAAATGTGTCATGCATGTATGTTATATAGAGATTTAAAAGTCAGGAAAAAAATTGTAAAGAGAATGTATATTGAGTAGTTTGTCTTCTATGGATGGATTTCATATTTTTGACTAATTGACACAGTGTCTGACAATTAGCAGTATCAATGGTAGAATCTTTCTTTTTTCAACATTTAGTTGTTTTATTGGAAAGGCAGATTTACAGAGAGAAGAAGATACAGAGAAAAAGATCTTCTGTTCCTTTGTTTATTTTCCAACTGGTTACAATTGCTGGAGCTGAGCTGATCTGAAGCCAAGAGGTGGGAGCTTCTTCCAGGTCTCCCATATGGGTGCAGGATCCCGAGGGTTTGGACCATCCTTCTCTGCTTTCCCATGCCAAAAGCAGGGAGCTGCATGGGAAGTATAGCAGCCAGGATATGACCTGGCACCCATATAGGATACAGGCACTTGAAGGTGGAGGGTTAACCAGTTGAACTAACACACTGGCCCTGGTACTAGATTCTTGAAATAATGTAAATGAAATTCTGCTGATATTGTATAAATGATACCCCTTTTCATCACAAGTTAAAAGATAGAAGGGGTAAAGAAAATATTTTTGGAAATGTATGAGTGGAGAGAGGAAAAATGAAAATTATCTAGAGGTCTCTTGTTACTGGAGTGGAAGAAAGACTAGAAGTTGTTACAAAAATTCCACCTCTTCATGGAGGTATAATTGATAAGCAAAGCCTTTCTTCTGGAAACTACCTCCATCAGTCATGATCTTAATCACTTTCATTTTCTCATATTGCTCAAAATAATCTCAGAGGTGACAATCTTCAGTGTCTTCCTTAATGACTCCAATGAAGCTTTTTTCCTCAAAGGCACCTGGCCTTTGAGAACCTTGTCTTAACTTAGCCCTCTCTGATTCCATCACTCTTCCATCTGCCATGTGTGACCTTGCATTCATGACTATATCCACCGCCTCCACAGTGGCATAGGTGACAGTCGCTAAACCCTTGGAGCGCTTGGTGATTGGATATCTAGCCATCACACATTCTGAGTGTTCCCCTTGCTTAGAATAATTCTTCAGATTCCCATTCGTCGTTGTTTCGTTGTTTCGAAGCTCAGCCCCCCATGAAGAGTTTCTGCATCTGTTCACCTGTTCGGCCTCAATGGTGTTCAAGAGCAAAAAGCTAACTTTTAACACAAAAACTAAAAGCACAATATAAAAGAGCTTTTAAACAGGCAAGAAAAAAAGCTACTTAATTGAAAATGGACTGAGTATTCACAAAGTCCTATAGCTGGCACAGGAGATTAAATTTGCTCATACCTAACATTTCAGTCACAATGGTACAGCAGGTTATGTTCATCATGCTTTTTCCCATGTGGCAAAAACACTATGGAAATGTGAAGATATTTCAGCTCAGAAACATGAGTAATTACTAGACATTGAGAGAGATAGGACAGGATAAGGGAGGTTGAAAATGAGTGCCACCAAATCAGAGTTAAGAGAAAAAAATTCTAGAATTACATAGCATAGTGTGGTGACTGTAGTTCACAATAACCTATTATATTTTATGAGCAAATAAAATACCTCCCAAACTTAAGTCCTGTCAAAAAGGAACAAATTACCGATTTGATCAGTATACACTATACACCTATATTTAAATGTCTTATGATATCTCATAAATATGTATAATTATGGCCAGTAGATTTTGTTTTTTAAGATTTATTCTTTTTTATTGGAAAGGCAGATTTACAAAGAGAAGGAGAGACAGAGAGAAAGATTTTCTAACCACTCCCCAAGTGGCTGCAAAGGCTGAGCTGGACTTAGGCCATCCTCTTTTGTTTTCCTAGGCTACAAGCAAGGAACTGGATCAGAAGTTGAACAGCTGAATCAGATGTTGTGCCCATTAAGGAATGCTATGCTCACTGGTAGAGGATTGGCCTGTTAAGCCATCATGCTAGCCCCAATGGCCAAGGAATAGTTAAAGTAAAATATTTTTACCCTGTAATTCAGTAATCGCATTTTAGGAATCTATTCCTTAAAAATAAAGCTACCCATACAGAACACCGTATAAATTAGACATTTATTGCAGCATTTCCTCCACTGATCAAAACCAGAAACAGTATGTGTACTCATCAATAGATAGGTTGGAAAATTGTGCTGCAGAAGCACCATAAAATGAAGCAATCAAACATATACTAGTTGATTTCAAGGGATTTATTTTTCTCATTGATAAAAAATTGAAAAATTAAAATTACAAAAGAGAGATAGAGAACATCTTACAATCTCTTTCCTAAAGGCAAAAGCAATACAATTTGCATAATGGAACCTTTATGTGGATATGGAAGTATGAATATAGAGCAATATGAGGGTAGTACATACAAGGTGCTGGCTGTTCCAGGGGATGCTGTTCCAGAATGCTGTTAACATAAGGCATTCTAAAATGAAATTTTAAACATTTTAAAGTGAAATTTTAAGAGAAAATAATTTTTAAAAAGGAAAATTAACAGAATAGTGTAGGTTCTTGGGTCTATATAAGTATTACTGTGCTTATTTATTTAGAAAAAACTGCAAAATAGCTGTCATATTCCAAATGAAATATTTTCATGTGACTCATAGTTTAAAAACCATGGACATATTTTTATTAAATTTTCCTTTGCGTTATTCATTTTGCTATTATCCTTGGTCCATGGAAGTCTATTCCTGTTAACCTTTCTGTTATAATTAGGTAGCCTTCCACCTTGACTCATCTGATGCTTTTCCTCTGGAACCATATTTTCTAATATCTGTAGTATTAGTTCTGCTTTCCTTGCTTATGTTTGCCTACTCTGTCCTTTCTACTAATATTGCCAGTAATCTTTTGTATTGGCATTTAATATAAATGTGTCTATGGTGAATAATGTGTAACAGCGTTTTCTTCTAAATTTGATAGCTTCTGTTTTTTTTTTAAAGAGATTTCAGTGAATCCTTTCACAGTTACTGTAATTGATAGTTTTATTTTATTCTTCCACTCTAATTTGTAACATGATTAAATGATTTATTCTGCATAATTTCCACTTTTATTTTGGATGAACGTGTTCTCTTTTATAATAGTATTTTAAAAGATTCCAATTCTGAATTTTTTTTTCTTATCTTCTTGAAGACAAATTGAGTGGCAGCAGTAACAAAAGACAAAAAATTGCTCAAGACTTCTTCAGCTCTATTGACCAGACAGGAGAACTGATGGCAATGTTTGAAAATGATGAAATTGATGAAGTTAAACAAGAGAGAATGGAGGTATGGTACATTCTTCACTTTTTAGAATAATAGAGCAGCCATTTCAGTGTTTGTGCTGTTTAGTTCAACTGTTACACTCTTAATGTTTACAATCCCCAAACCAGTCATTTTATGTTTAATAGCATATGTGTACAGAGACGTAAGCCCTGGCAAAACTCCACTTTTAAAGCTGACTTTGAGAAATGACTTTAGTTTTCTGTTTCTATTTATTTTTGAAAATAAATGGATTCCCCACATTTGGTCTGACAGTTGTAATTCTGCTTCGTCCCACAAATGCTAATTTATTGATAGAAACTTGTTTTCTTATTCCAGATCATCCAATACTTTTGTAATTCTTACTGTGTTGGTATAGAGAGTGAAATGCAAACTCTCAGGCCTTGTTTTCAACCTGCGATAGATTTCACTAGTTAAAATGGCATTCGGGACAATTATATGCTTTACACTACTGTACGCTTGATCTTAGTGCTATGCTTTTTACTACTGTAACATAGTTAGTGATGTGTACTTTTACTTCCTGGATATGTTTCAGCAATGAATATGAAGATTGTATGTGCTATATTTCCCTTAGATATCTATACATAAAATTATTCTTTAAATACTTTGGGAAAACTGAAAATAACAATTAATTTTATTTGAATGTCTTCCAAAATACAGGGCCACTTTTTTATGCTTCTTAGAACTCTTATTATTCATCTACATTAAAAAAAATCTTCATCTGCCCCTGCTCTTTAAATTGGGCCACAGAGGTAATTCTGAAATTCCAAGACTGTGCTAACTGCATGCTTTATCATGTTCTCTATGCATGCTAAAAATATAATTATTTCATGTTAAATTTTGGAGGAAGTCCAATAGACATACATGCTTTATAAACTTTAACAACCTTCTTTAAAGAATTAGAATTCCTAGATCATAAACTGTGATGTAAAGGCAGTGTTCTTTTAGGTATCAATTACCTTAGAAATGTGTGGTTATCTTGGTTTGGGAGAACTGCAAATGGTTTTAGTTCAACTTTGCCTTGAGCCAAAAACATGCTAACTTGTCCAAAGCAGATGATAAACATATATTTCTGATGTCATAATGGCCTAAACAGGATATGATTGTTTAGTGGCATGGTTTCACTTAAAATATATTGCAAAGAGAGAAAATATTATTGTGTTTTATTTTAAAAAAAGTTTTTTTATATTATACAAATTGAACATTAAGAAAGAATTCTTCATTAAAGAAGAATTCTGAATAAAACATTACTAAAATTGAACAAGTATCCTTTCAGTTTTGGTGGGAAAATGTCTGCTAACCAAGCCTGTTGCCCAGAAGGGCATTCCATAATCAAGACGAGAAGAAATGGAGCATTTTGTAACTCTAAGCTCATGATTGCAGGCTACTGTAGGCCTGGAAAAATGATGAGTCAGTAAGGTACCAGTTAGTCAATAAAATATCTGGAAATGCTGGGTACAAAAGGCTAAGAGGTATGTGTATGCATCATACATGAACCTCTTCTCCACAGTTATGTTGCATACTGCAGAATGGTAATCAGAATAAGAAACTATCAATAGTTGATAAAAAGATAATTACAATGAAAGTGACCCTTATCTATACAGTAAACGTGAGATTGGCAGCTTCTTCAACCTTTATACTGTAGCTAAAGTCTTCTCTAACCAAGATCACACAGGCTAGTTTTGGTATACTGCTCATCCAAATAACAGAGTTTAATGGAATAAAGAATGTTGGACTTCTAGACATAACTGTAGACAGTGGAAAGTGGAACCGTTAAGAGCAGAGGCTTTGCCTGCTTCTAATTTGACAGGTTATAGTTTCAAGCCTAAACCACAACTGTGGCAGTCCATATGAAACCACTTTGGACCCACAGACTACAATCTCTCATTTTTAAAGTGCAGTAGACTAATCAGACCTGGCATCATTCAGTGATTTAATTTTCCTCTAAGCATCACTTATGGTTGCAGAGACTTTGTTTACTACCTTCTCCCCTAAAACGTATGAAAATGGTACAGACCTACCAACGAAGCTTAATCTTGGTTTTCTTTCTTTTTCATTCAAATGTAATTTAGAAGGGAAAAAAAAATTTAGACTTAAAAGCTCACTTGAGACTCCACATTTTTCTCAAAACAGTTAGCCAGCATATTTTAAAAAAATAGACTGAGTTTTGAACTGTTGCTTTCAGCTGATATTTGGGTACCTGTTCTTGCGTTTCACCCATAATTTGCTTCATTACTATGATGTGTGATGTGACTGGAAATAGAAAAGTGTCCTTAAATTTTTCCATCTACTTCTCCTAGCCAGTCTGTCATTATTTTAGCAATTTTTATTTTTTATTTCCTTTTCCTCCTGCACCAAATTACTGACAGTTCGATATATCCATTGTAAAGATATAGGGTTTGGATCTGTAAAAATCCTTCTAAATGATCAAATAAAAATAAAACAATAATCAGAGTTTAGAGTATTTGCATGGCTAGGAAGCAGAAGCTGTATAAGCAGATTAGCATAATACATGTAAATACATCTGCCTTCAGCATCCCTTCATCCCCATCACCCGCAACCCCTAATGGGGCAGTTTTAAACCAACTGAAAGTGCGTGTGTCAACCAAACACCCCAAGAAAGGGTCACTGACAGTGCAAATGGCTTTGAGTTTGAGGAATTTTGGTCACCCGCAGATGAGGCCTCCCTAAAATCCAGCTCTCAGTTTGTGAAACAGTCTGAGAAACTCAAACATAACCTTAATGAAGCAGACCTTCTCTTCTGAGAAATCTGTAAAGCATAGGGTGGGACCTTACCTACACACCAACCCTCAAACAAATGAAAGTTCTTGAGAGTAAGGATTAAAGGTGACTAGAAAGAGCAGACTTCAAACACACTGGGAGACTGAATATCTAAAGTGCCTACATATCTTATGCTTTTAAATCAAACCTATTTTAGAATCTACAGAAAAAACAGTTTGACATACATAAAATATAAAACAATTTAAATGCTTTTAAAATGCATTTTAAATCGAATAATATCACAGGTGACCCTCTAAGTTTGCTTAACTTGGAATGAACTTGGAATGAAATTTTTAAAGTTTGAAACACAAAGGCAGCTTCACAGAAGGAACTAAGTGTATCGTTTACCTGTGCCCCAAGTATTACGAGATTATGACATCTGTGGACTTTGAGTTCCAGGATTACAGATTTTGGAGGTAAATGAACTGGAAAACTCACTAAAGACGAAATAGAGCTGTGGGAATGCTCCATCTTCTCCCAGTTTTGAAGTGTGTTCTTATTTACACTTTTTGGTTTCTATGCATCGTGATTATTTTTCTAGTTATAGAAGAGGGAAAGCAAAATGTGCGTTAGGCCAAGAGTCTAAAAATCTCAGGTAATATTCATCATAAAAGAAAGAAGACAAAAACCAGTAAATAAGTGCCATATGAAATTTGAAGGATAATTTCAAAACTGAAAGTCTGAGGACAAAAATGTCACTGTGCACAGGATTAAGAAATGACGATAGCAATATACTAGAAATATTCATGTAGTTTATATATGTATATACAGATATTTATATGTACTTGCTTATACATTTACAAGCATTTGTATTTTTATATACACAGCGAATGTGTACTTGTGTGTGTATGCATTTAAATGTAAATATTTGGGAATAAAAATATAATTTTGACATGTTTAACGGTTGAAAGTAAGGAAAAAGAATAATTAGACTTATGTTAGACAAAGAAAATGCTGGTGGTAAAAAAATTAGCTTCTGAAACTGAGAATTTGAGAAGGGTTTTATAATAGAATAAAAGAAATTATCCTGTGCCATTAAAATACGCTGTATATGAAGATACAAAATGTTAAACCCCAAATTCCTGTTCATTGAAACATAACAAGCAAAAGCTGCTTACAGTAGCACAGGCAATGCCTTAATTGTGGAACCTGCACCATGCCGTCCTCAATCTTTAACACATTGATTTAGAGACTAAACGATTTTAAGAAATATCGTTATTTATTAGATGCTCATACATTGTAACATTGTGCAACTAAACAGCCTTATCCGAGTAACTCCAAGGATTTCACCAGACTCTTTAGGAAAGTGGAGAAGTTTTGGTGGGGCTTACCCCCCATCCTTTCCTCACACCTTCTTCAACCAGCACCTTTTCAGCTTTATGTGATGGCTATACCGTCAATGAGGAAAGTGTTTCATTGTATTTTTTGTTTCTTTTGTATTTGTATTTGCAAGAAAGAGAGGCACACACAGAGATCTCCATTCACTGATTCCTCCTCAGATGCCTGCTACAACTGAGTATGGGGCACATGAATTCAGTAATTAAGTGCCTGAATCTTAATCTGGATCTCAAGTGCAGGTGTGCAGGCACATGAGCCCATCTGCTATCTTTCAGTATGTACATTATCAGGAAGCTGGAATTGAAATTGGAACCAGAGCACAGACTCATGCACTCCACTATGGAATTCAGGTGGCCCACAGTGCGTGTAAAACAGTGCGCTACACTTGGTGCTCTCGCTGTCTTGGGGGGTTTTTTTGTTTGTTTGTTTGTTTTCTTCAAATTTTAAGTCATTACAGAACAGCAGTTTTCACCATCCATTTAAGACAGTATTTCCCATGTTCCTTGTATAAGCACACAGTTGGTAAATTCTAAAAATTCTAATTTATAAGGCATATTACACTTTCTTTTGGTTTTGATTCTAGTTTTTTTCTCACTAGAAGCATTTAGTTAGTACATAGTATTCAATATGATATGCTTTGCCAGTCAAATGCAGTAGACTCTGTAGGTACTTACAGCTAATACTGAAAAGATGATAAAGGAATTGAAATTATTTAGGTTGTCTCCTCAGAGTAACAAGCCATATCAATATTATATATATGTGTATTAGTAGTTGCATTCTAATCAAAGTAAATGCACATTGTGAAAAACAATACATTGTTGTTTCATGTCTTCTGGGGAGTCTGGGTGGCACCTGCTGTTGTATTGAAGTACTAGTGATTAGAAATG